TGAGAATATTGATGAGTTATCAAATCTCTTAATGAATCATTTAAAATTGATTATTTTTTTATATATATTAGATAAGACAATTACATTTCCAAATATGTTTAAACAATATAAATTGTATAATTATACTTTTGGATTTTTTTAGAATTAAGAAACTAAAGTCATTAGATCATGAAAAGTTAAAAGAATATTCTCTTAATCTTGAGCGTTCATTAAACATAATTAAAACTCAAATATTGATAGATTGAATTTATTGTTGGTGTAAGCCTTAGAGGTCATTACATTTGATACTTGTATCAAATTATTTATTATTAATAATAAATATTTCTTTACTATGTTTGTTTTTCCAAGATAATAAAGTCCTTAGAATAGCTCGTCTGTTTAATAAAATATTAAGTGTGACTTAATCATTAGATCCCATTAAACATAAATACATTATTCTTAAAGTATCTGCAGTCGAGCTTTACTGTGAACTGGGATAACCTTAAAGCATTAAGACTATTATGTAAATAGACTGATGATCACATCTTATAGTTCATGGATAGGGAGTTATCAAGTCTTAACATAGGTATGAATATTAGAAGTAATATTTATACTAGATTGACCCGCTATGAGAGTACGACATAGAATGTTATGCAAAGTGTTATAAGTTACTCTCATGGTAATGGTAGTGTATACCACCATTCGACCTGAAACTACTATGGACTCTAGATGTAGAGTCGAGTAGTTTATTGCTAATATAACATTGTCCGTAACTAGATGAACATAAAGACAATTGATAAGTATTTCATAAAGCATGCTGAGGGACATGAGTGACCTAGATGGAATTTGCTCATCCTGCATAAAAAATAAATATTTAAGGGTCAATATTAAATTGGATAAGGATGACATGATATATGCCTTGTGTTTAATATAGACATAAGGGCAAAAAGGTAATTGTACATATAAGTATTATCCAAAAGGTTTTGTCAAATCACATGACATTTTCGAAACTTGGGTAGCAGTGATATGTTGCTAGATACCGCTCACTGTTTATTATGTTAAATACACGATTTAATATAATTGCCAACATCCTGAAACCTACAGGGTCACACATATAAAAACATATTGATAAGTGATAGAGTAAATAAAGAACACCGTAAGATATAGTGCACTTAAATAAATGTATAACACCGTAAGGTACGGTGCACTTAAGTAGAATACATAATATGGTAAGGTACCACGTGCTTAAGTGATACACGGTACACCATAAGATATGGTGTGCGTTCACTTAAGTGTGTTTTTTAGCTTGCAACCCACACAAGTGGTTCTATAAATAGAACCCTTGTGCAAAAGCATTCACAGTTGATGAAAGTCGGACTGTGAAACCCTAGCTGTTTATTTTCCTTCTCTCTCTCTCTCTCTCCCTTCCTCTCCTCTCTCTCTCTCTCTCTCTCTCTCTCTCTCTCTCTCTCTCTCTCTCTCTCTCTCTCTCTCTCTCTCTCTCTCTCTCTCTCTCTCTCTCTCTCTCTCTCTCTCTCTCAAAGTCTTCAATCGTACCAGCTAGCATTGAGACTGAAGGAATTTGTTCGTGTGGACTAAGTAGAGGCGTTGTTCATCATACATTGCTCATGATCGCTCCTCCGGTTCATAATCAAAGGTTTCATCACCACAAGAGGTAACCGTTCTATCACTGATCATTACCAATCATAAGAATCACTAAAGGGAAATTTTTAATTTTCGCTGCGTTTTGGATCACATATTTCCCTTCATTTATTTATAGAACTAAACATCTTAAAAGAAATTATACAAATTGAAAATGATACACCAGTTGTCTTACTTAATTATTTATACATAATTGATTATTTTCCAAATACATATATTTTTTATAAAATAATATTTACAATTCATGTAAGTGTTGCTTTCACAGAAAGTATTTTTTCAAAATTAAAATTAATAAAATCTTATCTAAGATCAACAATTTTGCAACAAAGATTAAATGGGTTGACTTTATCATCCATTAAAAAAGAATTTTAACAAAAATTCGATTATGATAATTTAATAAACAATTTTGCATATCAAAAAGCTCAAAATATAAAACTTATTTAAATTATTTATATAGGGAAAATTCCTAAAGTTTGCTTTAGGAATCAATATTAGTTGAGATGACACTACTTTAAGATTGACAGTATGACCATAAAACAGACCTAGAATTCGTCAAAAGAAAAATCACGTCACAACCATTATTTAATGACATGAAAAATCACTTGGCAGTAGCGCTTTTAGCATCTTTTTTGCCATATGAAAATCACGCCACAACTTTGTCACGTGAATTTCACATGACAAAGTTCTGCTGGTATAACAGTCATACTCAGCTACAAAGTATGAGCACAAGGTAGTTTGACAGATTTGCCACGTGAATTTCACGTCTCAAAAAAGAACATTTGTCAGATTTGTGTCGTGTTTACCACGCTACAAAAATGAAACATGTCATATATTTGCGACATCATTTCCATTTTGCAGATTATTTTTTATTTAAATTAAATTAAATTATTAATGAAAATACAAAAATTAATAAATAATACAAATATTTTCAAATAATAATTAGACATATAAACCTTTTTACAATTAAAAATATGAATTTCAAATAATAATTGAATATTTTCAAATTATAATTAAAAATATGAATTTCAATTAAAAATGATTAAATTTAAAATAATTATAAATATTTACAAAAAAGCAATCACCACAATCCTTAAAATCTTCATCCACATCATCATCCTCATCTACATTATCACCCATTGAATTATTTGTTTTTATGAGACAAATTATCGTATTTGCTCCTCCTCTCAAATTGTTTCTTCTTCATTGCCTCCATTTTGACATTTATTGTCGCCTCACGTTCTGCCGTCTCACCTCTTACCTCAATTAGCGTCAGTTGTCTTACTATTTCCATCACACAAAAATTAAATTAAATATAGTTTAAAATTAACAAAATTCTTAGCCTAATTAATAAAATTAACTTTAATTAAAAGAATATAGTAAATAAAATATAACTTAAAAAAATAGTTATAATTATCATGTGTCGAGCATGTTCGGCGATACTAATACTTCCAACTACATTAAGACTACCCCCTTTTCAAATGCTCTCATTTTCTTTGCAATTTTAGATTTTGTTTTAAAACCAACTGAAATCCAATAGACAGGACGTTCATCAAATACATCCTTGTCTATCCAATTAGGACAAACATTTTGTTCTTCCAAACCATGTATAGCATGCCGTAGCATGTTAGAAAGTCGGATTGTTGTTCTGTCCCGAATTTTTTTTAATCCAATCGTCGTTCATTACTTTTCACATACACTTTTTCTGTAATGTTGTATGACATTCAAATAAATTGTTATATAACTATAATAAAAAATGTAATTAAAATAACAATAGCTTAAAATAAATTCATTATACCTTAAAATTTTTAAACCATATACCTTTTTCACACGAGGAAAGTTCTCCAAATCTCTTTCAAGTTTTTTTATACGTTTGTTGAATAATATATATAACGACATGATAAACATGTTGCAACACCTCTTTTTTGCCACATGTTTATCACGCTACAACATCATGTCGCTGGGAACTTGTTTTAGTATAGTTGCTGCAGATAGACCAAAAGAAAAAATGACGACTTTTCATATACCCTTCGTTACGTTGTTCAGAAAACTGAAATAATAATTCTTTCTCAACTAAAGTAAAATAAGTTATTTATAGTAATGGTTGTGCTTAGGTGAATAGGGGTATGCATGATAGTTAGATGACCATTATTGAGTGATAGGTTGTATTTCTAACTCTCCTTTAATTTGATGTTTTGAAGAGGTTTTCTAGTTCTGTGAAAGTTTGTTTCAATGGCGTCTAGTGGTGGTTTAGTATGTGAAAGTTTGTTTCAATGGCATCTAGTGGTGGTTTAGTAGGCGAGATTGTGGATGTTATGTTCCTCTGTCTGGCCATAGTAGGCTGTCTAGTGGTGGTTTAGTAGGCGAGATTGTGGATGTTATGTTCCTCTGTCTGGCCATACTAGGCTGTTGTAGTTTAGGTATTTGTTTTATTTTTAATTTTCCTATTTATTGAGTGTTATGCTTGTATCGTGCGTACATGCCCGACCCAAGGGGTAGGCCACCAAGGCTATTGCCTAAGCCTCTCATTTTTATTTTGTATTTATTTAATTTTAATTTATTACTTTTAAATTATTTTTTAAATTATGTTATATATCAATTAAATAATAACACCTATTTAAAATATATAATAATAACAATCATTTACAATATATATTATTTGATTTGTTAATTTAAAAATCACACTTATACATAATAAATTTGTGAGTTTTTTAACATAATAATAAGAGATTTGATATCTAAGATTTTTTTTAAAAATTTTGATATTATTTTTCAATTATGATTTATTAAAATATTAAAAAGAATGTTTAAATGAGTTAATTTTATTATCAAAATTAAAATGAATTATTAAATAAAATTGATTATAATAATTTAATGATTTTAAATCCTAAAACATCTAATTTTAGAAATATTTTTATTATATTTAAATTATTTTATTTTAAATTTCACCTTAGATATGTTAGACCTACATGTATATGCATTTTTTTCATTTATTATATTATATATCTCGTTTTCCATTAAAAAAAATCATACATATCAATTTAGGATACCATTATTTTTTTACTATTACAAAATTAAATGATTATAGTTATTTATTTTTAAAAAAAAAAACATAATCACCATAGATAATTTCACTTGAAAGTGAAGGGTATTATTGTAATAACAACATTAATTCCATTTATAACCGCTGACCTTTCTTCTCTGCCCATCTCTTTATTTAAATTTCATATGTCCTTCTCTCAATATTTTCTATCTCACCATATGTTACTTCTTTAACTCTCTCTTCTCTTCTTTCTCCTCTATATAAATAACACCAAAAACCACTATACTCTTTGATAATTAGTGTTCTTTTCTTACAAATTATGGGACGTTCACCATGTTGTGACAAAGTTGGTTTAAAGAAAGGTCCATGGACTCCAGAAGAAGATCAAAAACTCTTGGCTTATATCGAAGAACACGGCCATGGAAGTTGGCGCGCTTTGCCAGCTAAAGCTGGTATAATGATGTCTTTGCACTTTCAATTTCCGTAGCTGATGTATCTGATCTATATTATTGATCAGATACATCAACTATGAGACAGTAGATATTATATATATAACATGATTTTGTTTACTAAATATATTTTTAGTATATGTCTTTTATTTATTTATTTATTAATGAATGTTTTTTTTGTTGATATTTGTAAATAGGTCTTCAAAGATGTGGGAAGAGCTGCAGATTAAGATGGACCAATTATCTTAGACCTGATATTAAGAGAGGAAAGTTTAGTTTGCAAGAAGAACAAACAATTATTCAACTTCATGCTCTCTTAGGGAACAGGTTTGGTATATTTCCTTATTGTGTTTTCATCATTAATTAATTAATTTCTATATTTTGAATCTCTTGATATTCCTTTACTCATTTTCTTTAATTAATTTTATTTGTTTTTTATTCATTTTCTTCTAAGCACATTGATTTAATTTTCAAGAAAATGTAAACATGAAGATATACTTTCCCTTTCTAATTCTTTCCCTTTTTTTTAATATAAAATAATTACAAAAATAAAATAAAAGGTGTCACTATTAATATGTGGAAGCACTTACTATACTCATTCATTTTTTTGGGGTCTATAATTTTCTTTTTTTTTCTTCTCATAATTCCCTTGTTGTGAGGTATGTCTTAAATGCCATGTCCCCTCCATTTCTTCACTTAACTATTCCAACCCATCTCCAACAAATAATTCACATCACACTCTGCCATTTTCCTAAATTTATTACTCTCTGACATCCAAGTTTTTTCAAAGTGAATAATTAATTATAAAATGATAATTACATCATCTACCACTAAAAATACCATTTGATTTGTGATCTAGTAGCTTCATAATTTATGCTACATTTCTTTCAAAAATATGAATTAATTATATTACACATAATGTCACTACTATAAAATAAATTCTGATATATATAATTATTTTTATTATAGAAAATAAATTATTCTATTTGTTTTTTTCTTAAAAAAAATTATAAAATAATTATAATTAAACCCAACCACCACTTAATAATTTTTTTTTTAATATACAACAAAAATATATATTTCATCACTAAATTCATTGTTAAATATGCTAAATTCAACTATCAATTTTAGTAATGAAAAAAAAAGGGTTTAGTATATAGTTGATGAATATTATTGTTGGTTAATTAATTAATTAATTAATTAATTAATAATCATTGACATTTTGTGTTGTGTTTGTATTATGTTTTTATTTTTACTTTTTTTGGAAAATTAGGTGGTCAGCTATAGCTACACATTTGTCAAAGAGAACAGATAATGAGATAAAGAATTATTGGAACACACATTTGAAGAAAAGGTTAACAAAAATGGGAATTGATCCAGTTACTCACAAACCTAAAAATGATGCACTTCTTTCTTCAAGTGATAATGTTCATTCAAAAACAGCTTCAAATCTTAGTCACATGGCTCAATGGGAAAGTGCTCGTCTTGAAGCTGAAGCTAGACTTGTTAGAGAATCCAAAATCCGTTCACATAATTCACTTCTTCATAATAATCATAATCATTTGAAGGCTTGGAATATTAATCTTGAATCTCCTACTTCAACTTTATCTTATAATGAGAATGTTCCACCAATTATTATGAGTAGTGAAGGAATTGGAGGAGAGAAAAACATCAATGATATTGAGAAAAATAGTAACAATAATAATAATGTTAATGATGATGAGAACAATGTTGTTGTGTCTATGATCGAGTTTGTAGGGACAAACTCAAGCTCAATTGTGAAAGAAGAAGGTGGTGATGATCAAGAAAATTGGAAAGATTATGAAAGTTTTACATCAAATCTTCATCATGAGTTAACTATGTCAATGGATCAAGGTGGTGTTGGAGATGTTATTGCTGAAGAAGGGTTTACTAATCTTTTGCTTAAAACAAATTCTGAAGATTTGAGTTTGTCAGAAAGTGGTGGAGAATCTAACAATGGTGGTGATGGTGGAAGTGGAAGTGAATTCTATGAAGATAACAATAACTATTGGAATAGTATTCTTAATTTAGTTAATTCATCACCTTCTCATTCCCCAATGTTTTGACGAAGATTTGTAGTCATTAAGTTTATAGTTATAATCAATCAAAAGTTTAAGGTATATTTAAGTACTAATAGAAAAAAATTCTTGACACCGAAATACATCTGAATTATCTGTTATTGTACGGTTAATCTTTATTAAATTATAGCGGTTTAATTTTATTTCTCGGTTATTAATGAGGAGGTTGGACTTATTGTATGCATGATAATAGATGATTCAGATCGAATAAAAATTATTTTAATATTATAAATGTTGAATTTTGATTGAGTTTAATAGAGAGTATTATTGAAAATGTATGTGGTAGTGACATAAATATATAATTATTTCATCAAACTCAAACCCTAATAAAAAACCATTGATTTTACTCCCTATGAGCATAATAAGAATGCTCATTTGAACATGTTGATTTTCAAGTAGTGCATGGTTTCTATAGTTGATGATTTAAAAGAGACTTTTCCTAGAAATGTTTATGTAATTGTAAGTTGTGAAAGCAAATTAGGTACTCTTATGAGGAAAAGAGATCTATGCTTGCTTTTCAACATCAAATGTTGATATTAATTTGTTTGAAGTTGACTTGATTTCTATGTCTAAAGTGTAGTTTTCCTATCTTCCTCTAGACAAAGTAATAATAGATAGTGTGTGAGAGATAATTGAATGTCTTTTACTGTATACAAAAAGCTAATAAAGGAAGCATTTATTATGGACTTTATAGTTGTTAGTTTTATGTCACATTATTGTTACTTTTGAAGATCTCAATTCAAAGTTGATCTATATCTATTTATTACCCTGCTATCTCATTATAATAGTGTTATATTTTATCAAATTACTAACATTATGAAATATCGGTGTTTTTCTAAATTATAAATATAAAATGCAAAATAGTAATTAGGTTTTTGTAGTTTCTTTTAAATTTAAAATTAAAGTATAATTAAAGTATAATTTTATTGTTTTTATCTGTAGATGAAGTAATAAATACTACATAAAATACATATAATCCTAAGTCTTAAGTTGGATCTAAGATGAAATATTCAAAAATAAAATTTATGTTATGTCTATCACTTCCTTGTAAATACCACTCATTTTAGAAATGTGTTGTCTTGCTTCACGATGCTAGTTTCGAAAATTGATTCCCCGCTATCTTTTGGAGATTTTAGTCTTATATCCTTCTTTGTGTCTCTTTATAAGTTTATGGCTAAAGTTATGGTGGTTAAGTTAGTGCTTGAAATGGAAAAACTTATCTAGTCGAATCAATCCCCTTCCTTGAAGGTAGACGGCTTATGGACAGGGTGGTGACTTTGAATGAGATTATCCATTTAGCCAAAGAGTTCGAAAAACGAATGACTTATCTTTAAGGTTTGATCTTGAGAAGGCATATGTTTATTAGTTGTTCAACCTAGAGTATGTGATGAGAATGTTTGGATTTAGTAGTGTAGAGAATGGATTAAAGTTTGTGTTTTCTCGAGGGTGTTTCCATCGCAGTTAATGGGTGTCTGACTAAGGAGATTAATTAATATTCATAATGTCCTTAAAAAGTGGCTCCCCTAAATCCGTTTTGTTTTGTTTGGTGGTAGATGATCTTACCGTAGAAATGAGACGTGTGTCTCTGATATAAACTTTCTTTAGTTTTAAAGGGTGCACAAGACATTGTTGTTTCTCACCTCTAATATGTATATGATATTACTCTTTTGGATGAAACTTCAATAAATAATTTTTGAATGATTAAGACTGTCATCGGAAGTCTACCTAGGAACCTATGATTATGTTTTTCTATAAAAAAAAAAATGGATTCGTGGAGGAATAGGTTTGTTAACCTTATTGGGAGGGTAGTTATCTTAAATTATTTGTTAAATGTCTTCTCTATATTTTTTCTTTTGTTCATGAAGATATTTGTCACGGTATAGAGGAATTGTTGATTTACAGAGGTGATTTATTTAGGGTGGGGCCTAGGGGGGTCGGAGATTTCTTTGATGCATAAGAGGTGGTGTGCAATTCCAAGGAGTTAAAGGTCTTGGGGTTCAGAATTTTAAAAAAAATTAATCTTTCCAACCTTGGTAGTTAGCTTTTGACATGTGCCTATCTCTAGAGGAAAATTTTGGTGGCAAGGCATGTGACACAGGTTGTTTCATCCTCATTAGGAGGGCATGTGGGTGGTTAGAGGGGAGATTCTCTATGGGAAAGAAAAATCTCCCCGTTGGATTTTTTGTGGGTTGTGTTTCTAATTGGTGTGCAGATGGTGTTACTAAGGTTATTAGGAATGATCTTATAGCTAAGTTTTCAAAGGATGTGTGAGTAGATCCTCGTCAATTATGTAGTTCCTTATCAAGGGTGAGTGGGTATGAAACTTCAATTAGATTCAGAGCCTATTTGTTTGGGAGAAAAAGATTCTTGATTCCCTAGTAATTTTTTATGGGGGTGAGGGGGGATCATGAAGTCATCTCAAGATAATGCTTAGGTGTGAAATTTAGATGTGAAAGGTTGTTTCTATTTAAGTCGGTCTTTGGTCTCCTTCAAAATCTTTTTGCGAAGGAGGATACTAGGTTTTTACGGGTGATTTAGGTGTTGGATAATTGTGTTTTTGGCGTGTTGATGGTGGATCTAATAGTTAAAGCTTTAGTTTATTCTTATGTTGGGTGTTGCTTTTGGTTTTTGCGTGATCGGTTGTGCTGCCATCGTCTGGTTTTTTGTTTTCTTTTTTTGTTTTTCTTGGGATTCTTCCTTCCCTTGGTGGTTTGGATTTTTGTGTTTTGTGGGTAGTTTTTATTTGGAAATTCTTGTGCCTTTGCTCTTCTGTTTGTTTTTTGAAGGTTTTCCTTCCCTTGGTGCTTTGGGTTTTTGTGTTTTGTTAGTATCTTTTATTGGGAACTTCTTGTACCTTTACTCTTCTGTTTTTTCCAGAGATTTGCTCCTCTCAACTTTTATTATATATATATATATATATATATATATATATATATATATATATATATATATATATATATATATATATATATATATATATATATATATATATATATATCCCTTAAAAAAGTGTTGCCTAATGGTTAGAAAGAAGTGTTTTAAAACCCGAACTGTTTCGGTCGGTTAGACTGTGAACCAAAAAGTGGAGCGGTCCAGTAAGATCATTGACCGTAAATGACTCGATGAAAATTGTTGTGACTAGGGCGGTTCACTGGTCAGACCAGTGAATCGATGGATGTTTTTGATCCGACGGGTTGATATTTTTATGTTTACTTTTTAGCTTAATTATAATTTTGATCCTTTTTATTTTTATTAACAAAAGTTTTGAAAAAAATAGTGTTACCAAATAAAATGAAATTATATTTTTACAATATTTTCAATATGAATTTTATTATTTGGATAAAAAAAGTTTATGTTACCTAAGAATGAAGGAATTAAAATTTTTACATTATTATTTTTAAGTAAAAATCACATTATTTTACAAACATTTTTATTTATATATTTTTATTTTTCTACTCTATCTTTTGTTTTTAATTATTTATATAGATTATAATATTTGTTTATGTTCTATATTAGTTTATTAGTTTATGGTATTATTATATCATACAATTACTTTTTCAACTTTTGTTAATTTATGAGCATCAACAAATTTTTATGTTTGGAAGTTAGATTTTTTATTTAAAATTGTTATTCAACTTATTTGCATGAATAAATTCATAGAATTTTATTTTGTAGATTTTATAGTTATGAAAATTATGTAAATAATCTTATTTCATGACCTTTTTTTTTAAAAAACTTTGTATAAATTGAATTAGAAGTTATGCGGTTAGACCAATGACCCACTGGTCAGACCAATAACCGAGTGACTCAATAGTTTGATCAGGTCAATAGCCGGTCCGGATTTTAAAACATTGGTTGGAAGAGTTAGCCCTCTATTAAAAGTGATAGCATTCTCTTGGCTGATGCTTCAGGATAAGGTTCTATCTAAAGTGAGCCTCTTAGAGGTAAGGTTTTTATCGATCATAACTAGTGGTTCAAAATGTGATTTGGACTATTTAAAAAACTCGTAATAGTGGTATTTTTGTTCGGAAAACTCAACTGTTAATCATGGTGTGAGCACATAATTGATCTTTATTATAAGTGGATTGAATCCCTTCTTTTGGGTCATCCTTTGTTTTTAAAATATTAGGAGCAGAATCCTCTGGTGTGCTTAGGCAGATTGAAGTAAACTAGGTTGTTCATTGACCTCTTTGTACTCAAAGATGGTCTAACTCATTATCCCTCAATTTGATGTTTCAAGGAATATTTTTAGTTTCAGATTGTGGGGGCTTTTATGTTGACAACTTTTGACACTATTTTTTTTTACCTTTGTTGTTTGTTGTCTTAGTTATTTCTTTTTCCCACAGAGTTGTAGTGTCTATGTTCTGTTATTCTGTGTTATTTTTGTTAGATAAAGATTTTAAGTTAAATGGATCCAGGCTAGAATTGTGCTTGTAATCACTTTCTAATAATATTTCAAGAACTACGTATATGTTTTAGAGTCTACGCGATGGAATACCCTAGATAATTCATTCTATATTCGAGTTTATATAAGACAAATGAAAACTCAAAAGTAGGGAAGATGGAAATTTGTAATTTACACTGAAGTGAATAGTTATCTATGTTATTATTTTTTATAAATCTAAAATGACCTATTTATAGGCTAAGAATCTCATCAACTTCCGACAACAATCAAAGTCCTCGAAGAATGAAGGCAACAAGAGTGGCAAATTGAAAGGGTCGTGCTACAATTGTGGAAAGACCGGTCATTATAAGTCGGATTGTCCATTGATAAAGAAAGACAAAGAAAGGAGAAGAATTGTCAACAAAAGAAATCGGGAAAACCTAGAAGGGCATATATTGCTTGGGAAAGTGATAGCGAGCCCTCTAGTGAAGATAGCTCAAGCGGTGAAAATGAATTTGTCAACCTCTGTCTCATGGCTCATTAAAGGAAGAAGAAAGAGGTAAAACACTCTAAATATGATCACTCTAATAAAATGTCTTATTTG